TATATATGATATATGAATACTAGTAAAGGTATAAATTGAGATATCATTAAATCCCTTAAATGTATTTTTACTTTTTAAGCTCAAGATGGTCATCTATACGCTTATCTTACCATTACCCTATTCGATTTAGTTCTTAAAGCCAGCAATTCTTTGTTTTCATACCTTTTTCATAATCATTTTATCTGTTTTGTCTAGCTCTTGATGTTAGCGCCATAAAGGAAAGTCGTTTACGCGTGAAGCTTCACTAGCATAGGTAACTAAATTATTGGTCGAAATGTATGAAATAATTCGAACATCAAATACCCCTCTCTTATTTATCCTATAAGTGTCTTCGCACATAGAGCATGCTGAAATTTCGGATTCACTTAAATCTAACCATTATCCCCTAGTGTTTTTTAACACAAAACGTGGGAATCCATATACAAATAGGCCATAGATTAGCAACATATTGAATAATAAAGCAAGCCTCTATATTAATGCCCCCATGGGCACAATAAACTCGATCTAATGGACCAAAATCCAGATCCCATACCGTCATGATGACCTGAGACCTGTAAATTCTTTGAACGTGCTAATTAATGGCATCCTGAGGCTTATTCATATCAAGGTGGGAAAAACCCCACTGCTACACTCTAAATTACCTAAAGTGACCTAAAGTGACTAATTTCCTACTCAAGAATTACCCATATTCCCGAACCCTTCTTATAGTGAATACAATTTACCTTTAATTCATTTTAACAAGAAAGGATGCAGTCCTCAGTTTGGCAATGATGTTAGATCAATTCTAAATCTGTACCTGATTACCACATTTAATGGGATTTTTAAGGATGACCATTCTAGTTAGTCCAATTATCCCACTTTGAGATCATCTCGGCTTGCGATCTCCAAAACGAGTAACTTGCCCAATTTTATTGTGTTCTGCACAACCGTGAACTTTTTCCATCTTTCCAGTGAAAATGGAAAGACACTTCTGTATTCATAATAGTCCTTCCTTGAAAACCATTATGATGAGATCCTCTTTCCTATCAAATGAACATGGCTTACTTGAGAAAGCTTAACTTCTCTTTTGGTGTGTTTTTTCTTCAAATATTCTAAAGTGATCAGAGCATTCTTTCTACTCGTAGTCTCTTTGTATTTCCACGTAAAAGTGCATTGAGGGCAGATATAACTTTCAGAAGTCCTACATGCGCGAAGCCCCAAAATGCATCCTTTTGTTGCATTATAATGAGCATTGTTGCCTTATACATTCGTTAT